CATGATTAAGGATAGCTTGTTAAGAGTCTGTTTGGCCCATTTATACACCTCGATATTATCCAGCCCGGTTCTTAAAAGTTTCAGTAGACAACATCTATTAACAAATACTCCCTCCGTCCCATAAAATTCTTCCCACTTTCCTTTTTGGGATGTCTCAAAAAATTCTTCCCACTTTCCCTTTTTGGACAATTTGTGTGGTTCACATTCATTTCACCTTTTTCTTACACAACCACAACCACACATTTCCACTTTATTCCACTTTCTTAATCTCCGTGCCAAGTCAAAGTGGGAAGAATTTTCTGGGACGGAGGGAGTAATTGTTCGGCAAATAGATACTTGAAATCTTGGGCACATATAACGTGTGGAAAAACAAAGAAGTAATCTGTACCAAGTGAGAACAAACAATTTTGCATTTAAACTCAGAAGTTCGGGTTGTTCGGCTGAAATGCCTGAATGTGCTAAATGTCAGTCATATTCATGCTGTCAAATTTAACTTTTGAAGCTTACTTAAGGCATGATTTTTATATATTTGCATGACCTTCAATCTTCCTAGCTGGAAAGTGGAAAGAACAATTTTCTCAGGCCATCTCCAAAAGTTAACACCATTTTTTACACTAAAATGGTGTAAACATCACATCAAACAGTATTTTATCTCCAACAGTTTACACCATTTTCATCACCAAAAAAGAATATTCTCTTTTTATTCTTTTTACTAACTTTTTACCATTCTTCAATTTAAGTATCTAACTATCATATATTTATACATTAGCCCCTCATTTAATATTTTGATATTTCACACATTATTTCACACATACAAACTAAAATACATCATTTTAATATGTATTTTCACGCATTTCACTAATTAAAATACATCATTTTAATATGTATTTTCACGCATTTCACAAATGTTATTATATTTTTGTTATTTTGTATCAAATTAATAATTTTAATTTGTTGTTCTATACAGATGTTTTTATTTGGACTGTAGATCAGATCAGACCGGATTAGACTAGACTTAGATAGTTATAAAAATACAAAGAAATCAGACCAGACCACATCAGTTCAGATCAGACCAGACCAAATCAGACCAGACCAGACCAACAAATTTCAGTCCAAGTAAAAACATCCTAATTTGTTGTTTTAAAAATGGGTCAAAACTATAATAATCAAAACTTTGGGTCACATTTGAAATAAATAAAAAATAGAAAAAGAAGATGGTGTTGGATTTGGTGTACACCATATATGGCGTAAAGCCAAAGGCTCTCCACCAAAATGGTGAAATGGTGTTAAAGATGGTGTTGCTATTGGAGCATTTTTTTGGCAAATACACCATTTTGGTGTAGAAATTGGTGCTTGTTGGAGTTGCCCTCATAAATCCAACATTTTTTAGCAAGGCTGGCATCACGTAGATAACAATTGTCCATGTACCATCCCACTAAATCTAATCTCAATTTCAATCCCAAGTAGAGATATTTTATTCAAATGCTGAATACAGATTGAAACTTTCTACAAAGGGCAGTTCTCTCCATAGAAAACCTTGCCCTGCACCACTTACCTATTTTCTCAAAAGAATAGATATAACCAATAAAATATTCAAACTTTTATACGTCGGATCCATACACTTAACAACCTTCAAATAGCAGTGCACATCACTTCTGTTCACAGACAAAGTTCATTGAGCTTCAGATGAAGTTGATGGATACTTTGTGGCTTCCAATATTGGTTGACTCTCTTCATTACGTGCTTCTACTATTCTACCAGATTTACAGGTAAAGTACAGAACCGTAAACATCATAGAATCCAAAAGCAGCAAAAACGAGTGCATTATCACCAAAAGTGGGCCTTCCCATAACCTCGAAGATCCATCCCCATAGCTAAGAGTCTTCACCCTATGCTCAAACAAGCCCTTCACAAATGCCATCCCAATGATCATTCCAAAAAACATAAGGACACCAACCCTTGTTTTCCCTTTGATGAGGGAATTGGACTTGAGCAATGCTTGTAGCCCTGCCACATCTTCCAACACTGAAATAACAATAGCAATGTTGCAAATAACTATGCAATTGGCTATTATAATTGAGAAGATCGCCACGAGTACAATGGAAGGGTATAAGATTGAAATTGAAGGGAATCCTGATATTGAAAACAAGGCGGTAATAGCAACCAGGATCACAATGAACAAAGTGAAACAGCCAGAAATAGCAGTGCATACCCATAAATAAGTGAAGATGATTCGCTTCCAAATCTTGGTAATTATCACATAGAACTTTAAAGCATCAAAATGTTCACGTGAGTAAGTACAATTCACTGAGTAAATAATGGCAGCTTTAGAGAGCAACAAGGATGTAGCGCATAGAGGGAAAGACACTGCAGTCGCTACCACCATTTCCGAGAACTTGTGAACAAGCTGTTCGATGAAAGGCCTGAGTGAAATTCCACTAGATCTCAAACCCAACAAAATCCTTACTGTCAGTTTCTTCACAAGGGACTGATTCACCAAGACATTCGACAAAAGCAAGGCAGACACTGGGAAAATCAACAACGCCATTATAGATAACAACCCGGTCGAATTGTACCGGAGAATCCACACTGTTTCTCTCAGAATTTCAAGCGGGCTCATGGAATGGAAATCATGATCGAATCTTGAACCTTCTTTAGCTACTTGCAATTGGAAACTTTGAAGATCCGAGTCTAAGTCCATCGGGTTTGCTGTTGTGGATGGACTCAACCCAATAGAAGCTTCCATTTCGGAACAACTAGTTCAACAGTAATCGATTTTATTCACACCGATAATATTCCCACTATGAATCTTGTGATCAATTGAAGAAGAGAAACACTGCCAATTTAAAGAATGGACTTCCAATCAAACTATCACGATCTGCACTTCAATCAGACATTTGCAGCGACAAAAAATTCGAAGTGATCCGGATCCGGGAGGTAAGTTCAACTGCGAGGAAGCAGAGAGTATCAGACCGCCAAAAGCTTCGGAGGAGACTCACGTGAGCTAGCAGAGATTATAGGATGACGATCTAAAGTAGTTCCATGGGTATTGGGTGGTGGCACTTGGCAGTACAACTTTCATGTACACAATCCTCCGTAAATGTCTGTACATAAGAGCTTTTGAACGCATGCAATCAGGCTGTGAGGGTGTGTAAAAGAAATGTTTATAGATAACCTTTTTCAAGTTCATTTGTACTCCGTATTAAGATAGAGAGCCCTGCTACTTCTTGACTTCTTGTACTTATATTATTTGTACACATTTTGCATACACACCTCTAGTTATCTATATACACATGTAGCTTCTGAACAAATTGTTTGTGTGCACAGACAACTAGGGATGTCTACAAAAAATGTGCACGAGCAGCTTTTTCCTAAGATAGAATGACTATCTACAAAAATGTGCACAAACAGCTTTTTCCTAAGATAGAATGACTGGCCTATAAGAATGGTCCCACAAGAAAAATCGTCCAATCACCTTTATTTGAGTTGCTTCCGTCTAAATTTTTTGATAAAATTTTGTAACCTTGTTATTTACTTTCTCCGTTCTTAAATAAATGAAACGGTCAACATTTCACACTTGTCGAGAAATAACTTTAACCATTAATATATACAATTCTCGATTATTAAAAAAATTAAAAAAAATAGATTTTGAAAATTTATTACTCTCTCCGTTCTTTTTTATTAGTCCTTTCCTTTTTGGGAAGTTTTTTTTATTTGTCCTCCTTTCCCTTTAAGGAAAGTTTTTGAGAAAATACTCTCACTTTTATTACTTTTACCCCACTTACTTTTTACAAACTACTTTCTCTTTCCTACTTTACCATCACTTTAATCTTCTTAATACACTTTCTTTCCTACTTTATCATCACTTTACTCTTTTTAATATAACATCTTTCCTACTTTATCATTTACCTTACACACTCTATACTTAGCCTACTACTTTATTATTAAAACTCGTGCCAAACCTAAGAGGACTAATAAAAAAGAACGAAAGTAGTATGAGACAAATTTAAAAATATTTTTTTCAAAAATATATATTACTACATTAATAAATAAAACGTAGTCAAAGTAGACCACGTGAATAGTGTAAAATTCAACATGTTGCATTTATTTAAGAACGAATGTAGTATAAAGTTTTAGATTGTATTGACTAAATTCCAGTTTAAAATTCAATCAAGAAGTAAGTTAAATAAATTGTTGAAAAATATTGCGCTAAAATATACTCTCTCCGTCCCTAAATAAACTTCACACTTTGACTTTATGTTTTTTAAGAAAGTGAAATTTTTGCTTTTGACTTTCTCATCATGCCCCCTAATAAGTAGATTAGATGTAGTGGAAGAGAGAAAGTGGGTGTAAAGTAGGCAATAAAGTAAGGGTATAAAGGATAATTTTATATTAAAAACTTACCAAAAATAGAAGTGTGAAGTTTATTTTGGACTTGCCCAAAAGGGAAAGTGTGAAGTTTATTTAGGGCCGGAGGGAGTACATAAAATGTGCGGTATTTTTCATTAATTTATATAACTAACTTCACGATTAAATTTCAAGATAAAATTTGTAGACGAAATCTACATTTAATGAAGAACGTGTTCACAAGATTTCATAAAAAATTAACAGAGGCACCTCAAATGAAGGTGGCGGGATGACGATTGCTATGAGGCCGACCCGACAGAAAGATTCATCAAGATAGAATATAACTAAATTAATTAATGGACAAAAAATTCATGAATTTTGATATATTTCTTGAAAACATTGAAGAACAAACACAAAAGTTATAAGAGTTTGAAATAATTTGGAGTAATAATGACGTCACCATGATGGAAGCATGTTTTCTTTCCAAGCAGCTAGGGGTGGACCCGGGCCGGTTCGGGCCCGGCCAGGCCTCGGGCCAGAAAACTGGGGCCCGAGCCCGAACCGCCGGTGGCCGGTTCCGGTTCCGGGCCAAACCGGTCCATTTTTTTTTGGTTCTCCTATTTAACCCCCTACCCCTCCCCCTCAACCCCAAACCACCTCAATTGGCCCAAAATACCTAATCTAACCCAAAACTTAAAAAAATTTCAAAAAAAAAAAAAATTAAAATCCGGCCCGGACCGGGCCCGAACCGGCCGGGCCGGTTCACCTAAAAGCAGGGCCCGAGCCCGGACCGCCCATCACCCGGGCCGGGCCAAACCGAACCGATGGACCCAGTGGGCCCCGGGCCGGGCCAAACAGTAATCGGGCCGGGTCGGTTCCGAGTCGGGAGAGAGCTAACCCGCTACTTAGTGTAAAACCGGAATTAACCGGTGGCCCGCTGGAAACCGGACCGGACCCGAGACGGATGAAACCCGGGAATCCAAGGAAAACCGGTTTATAAGCTTGTTCGCTATTAAAAACTGCTCCATTACGGAGGAGAGTTCGAACCCTCGACGTTCGGTTGAGAATTTAAACCAAACACCGACTCATCTACGTTGTCAACATGCCCTATTTCTTCTTTAAGGACTTTTATATCTTACTTTATTAACATTTTAGCCTCCAATAATATACTCCCTCCGTCCCAAAAACAACTTCCCACTTTCTTTAAATGGATGTCCCAAAATTAACTTCCCACTTCAATACTTTCCTTATTTGGCAAATTATCTACATAAAAAAAGTGATAAACAGTGTCAAACAGTGTTTAAACAATGCCAAACAGTGTTTAAACAGTGCCAAACAGTGTTTAAACAGTGCCAAACAGTGCACTCTATAGTAAAGTCAAATTTATTTCCTAAATATGTGTGTAGGTCAAACCGGGAGGTTGTTTTCGGGACGGAGGGAGTATCTTTTAAACTGCCGTATTAATTAAATGCTAATCAATGTAATTCTTATCCAAACAACTTCAATCCAATATAAAATTATACGTAGTATATATTTTTATATTTTATTTGTCAATAATCGTTGACCGGGTTGATAACCGTTGACCGAGCTGACCCTCCCGGGACCGGGTCGTCTCCCGGTCCGGTTTTTACAACATAGGATTTATTTCAACTAATTGCGAACGTAAGAGGAATGATTCATACGGTCGATGGTTTTGCGGGTGGGTTTACCTGCCGGTCTGCTTTGCCAGTACTGAACCTCTGATTTCTCTAACTGTAATCAGCAATATGAATCCTAACCAGACCAATGAAAAACCTCTGATTCTCTAACTGTAACAAAAATCAAAGCCAAACATAGTTGTGCCGCAGTGGTAATGAGAATGTGAGATAGAGGCACATCTTGATGATATCTGCATAAGTAGATAAACTGTTCTTAAGACTTACTGGCCCAGAACTGTGCGGTGAACCAGTAGTCCAGTACCACGTATGAAGCATTGTTTGTAATTGTGCAATGCAATTGCGCCTCATGACGCGCCTCAGCTAATTCCTGGACTATGGCGTAAAAGGCATTGCATATGGCGCTGGGAATGTGATGTACGCAATATTGCACTGAGGCGTACGCAATAGGAGGTCTGGGTGTAAGGGTATTATTTGGGCCCACTCGGCCCACTTTTAAATTTTTATAAGGGATAAAGACCTAAATAAGACTAAAAGATAGAGCAGGAATCTAAATAGGAGCCGAAGTTTTTTAAACCGTACATAGGACTACTTTATACCCGAAGGACAAAAATAACCCCATGCCTTAATCTTCATCAATTTCGTGGCCACTGATTGTTTTAATGAAATACTACCGGCCGACCTCCGTATATATAGCCTTGGACTTCGCCGCAACTGCATATCATCGCCGTTGTAGCACCGAGTCGCCGAGTCGCGCCGCCTTCACCGAGTTGCCGAGCCGCCGTTGCCGCATCGCGCCGCCTTCGCCATCGCCGCACTTTACTGCACATCTTCCCTTTCCCAGTCTTAAGCACTCCCTAGAGAAAAACTGTACAACGTATTTGGCAGATGAAGATCTAGGCTATTTATATCTATCCATAAAGAAGCACGTCCTGGATGCCGGATGGCCTATGGGTAGGAAGAGTGGCCAGAATGGCAGAACTCGATCTTGTGAGCGTGAGGAGATTAGAGTTCAAAAGCAAATTTGAGGTCTCAATTTTCACCGAGTTCAGCTAGGGTTACTCAACGGACCAAACGTGTTGTGATATTTGTTTTTTGTGTGTGGACTGGATTTAATAAAGATCCTCATGGCTCATCAATTGCAGGAGAGAATTTGCTTTCCTTACAAGTTTTTTGACAAAATGTTCAAATGTAAGTTACCATGCTAACATAGACAGTGACTCGCTTTACAAAAAAAGTAAGACATTAAAATAATTTCTATGTTTCTAAAATATGAAAACGTTAAAAATGTCAATATTCTAAAACATCATAATATTGTGTGATATTTTACATTGCAATGTCATGATTAATATCAATACTGATGAATGATTGCATTGTTGAATGTGAAAAATTAGGATGGCAGGGTCAAATATTGGGAATGCCACAATGTCAAGGTCAAAACTAGGCACGGAAAGTGTCACAATGTGAAATAATGATAATGACAATGTCAATGCTATAAATAATGACATTGTGATAATGACAATGTTAATGTCAATAATTGTTGTAAATGTCATCATAATATCAAATAATGACAATGTCAATATCAATGGCATAAATAGTGACATTGTAATAATGACAATGTCAATACCGCTATCAATAACTGTCATCACAATGTCATTTTCAAAATGTAGAAAAATATCACAATGTAAAAATTGTCGTTATAAATAGTCTCCCAATAAACAATGTTATAGTATTGAACACATCTTTAAAATGTACACAAATCGTCACAATGTCAAAGAATCTTCACAATGTCAATGTTATACAAAGTGACATTGTAATAAAAATAATGTTTATATAAATGTCAATGATTGTCATAACAATATTTAGTACTTCGTATATGACATTGTAATGATGTCTTTATTTAAAATTTAGTATTATTGAGAGAAACATGTTACAATGTCAAACAACGACAATGTCAATTCTATATAAAGTGACATTGTAACAATGACAATGTCAATATGAATGTCACCAGTTGTCGTGACATTGGTGATAAAATTCGAATCAATTCAGTCATTGTAATCAAGTACTTTGCAGATATCAACATTATTAAATATGTCACAATATTAAAATCATTTAAAAACATACTATCATCAACAATATAACAATGTCAATGCATAGCAAGATGTAACAATAACTGCGACATTTGAATAAATTAACAACTCAACATGAGGTTAACTATAAGATTACATGACTAAAATGAATTAACGAAATAATCATAAATAATTAATGCCAGAGTTTTACGAAATAATAGCTGGAGTTACAATTTGAAGAAGAAATTAGATAAAAAAAAACCAAATCAGAATAAAAAAGAATTAGAAAATTAAACAACACGCACAGAAAGAAGCCACAAAAGAAAAGAAAAAGAAAACTGCAATTTCTCGTTGCAAGCTAAGGAAACAAGGAAATATCAATCTCTTGTTCTGTTTTGTGCCCTCCACTTCTTAATTTCCATAATCATTCATAAAAAAAATACAGAAAGTGCAAAAATGATCATGATTTCATCACTGTCAAATACAGAGAATGCAATATTGAGCTGGAGGGGGCGCATAGATTGAGCTGCCGTCAATTTAGGTTGTTGGTTTTTTATTTGCCGCTGTTGCAGTCCAAAGGAAAGGAAAAATATTAAAAATTAAGAAAATAAAAGATGGAAGAAGCTGGAAAGAAGGAAAGAAAGAGGTGGAGACTGGAGACGGTACGGTGAAGAAGAAGTGAAAGATGAGGAAAAGAGACACCAAGGCCCGCCGCACCTCCGCTGCATCCGCCGGATCCGCCACCCCCAAATTCGATGCTTCTATGACAATATCCGTTGCTCCTGTGGTAGATATTAGAAGGGAATGAACACAAATTGGAGAAAATAGGCCGGAGAAGAGGACCGTATGTCTTTTTAAGTGGAGGATAAAATAGGAATTAACAATAAATGTGGTCTTATTCAGGTATTAAAAAGTCAATGGTCCTATCCGCTTACATATGAGATTTTTTGGTCCTATTTTGAACCATTCCTCTTTTTATAATTGATCTTATGATCCCTATTTCAAATCAGTAGTTATTGATTGAATTTTTCAGTCAATCAATCTAATTAATTTAAATTTTCATATCTTAGATTTTTGTTTTGACAAATGATTCAGAATGTTTTGGTATTCTATGGTACTTTGAATTTTGAACATGTTACTTTGCTTGGTCTCTTATGGTTTGTTTTAATATAACATTTGATGAATATGTTTATTTTTTATTATGTTTATATAATATATATATATATATATATATATATATATATATATATATATCTAAAAACTTATAAACATCAATGGTGGTTATTTCATCTTAGCAATAATAAAAATGTTGGTGTAACACTTAAGCAAGTGACACTTGTACTCTTTGTTTTAATTGATGTACCATTCATAATTAAGTCTATCACTTCTCCTTTACATCCGTTAAATTCCTGACGGCAGAGTTTTTAACGTGTGCCCTTCCAATTACAATTATTGTATTCATTTGATTGCTTTAGTTTCCATCATTTGATTGCTTTAGTTTTCGTTCAATGTTTTTTTAATTTAATTTTGTATTTTAAACCATATCCCTACGTTGTAGAAGATAAAAACTTCAATGTTATGTAAATTTTCATGTTTTCTATTTAAAATGAAGCAATTGGACACATTCACACCAGATAAAATTTTTGTTCGGTTTGCAAAGTACTCCTTTTTTTTATTAATCTCTTACGGTCGCAAAGATTTGGATGCATATTTTCAGTTTTTCTTTGCATATTATTCTTATGGCTTATTGCTTACGATTATTTAGTTTGGATGAGGTCAGACTAGAAAAAATCTTCTCACATCAGAAAGATCCGGATCATATCATATCAGAAAGTTACAACAAGATTAAAAAATTTCAGACATGATTTATTATTATTATTATTATTATCATAATCAGTGGCGGAGCCAAAAAAACGGGTCAGGGGGGTCGAAAATCAACTATGTACAAAATGAAAATGGTACATCGTTTTTAGACAATGTTCGAACTGAATGTTTCATTTGTAGTTTAGATAAATAGCATTCGTAAGCAATAAGATATACTGTCTTTGCTCTGTTTCTGAATCATGTTACGTAACTAATGAATTAATTATACGTTATTCATAAAATTTGGGAAAATAATCAATATTATGCATCAAATTTTGCTGATTTTACGTTTAGATAGTGCTGATTTTCCAGAAGTCATAACTTTTTACTCGTAATGAGTTACGGGGGCCATAATATATCAAATCGAAGGTATTTCAGAGCTCTATACTCTCAAACTTTCAGCGGGGTCGGATGACCCCCTTGACCCCCCCTTGGCTCCGCCCCTGATCATAATCAACATCATCAATATTATTATTATAAGAAGATTCTTATTTTATTCATTGAGGAGAAGATTGTTATTAATAGTCTCTTTAATGATAATGTTTTCGGCTTATCAGTCTTATGAAACAATTTTTTCACCCAACACGTAATTTTTTATTTCACGCGTTAAGTTGTATAATAATCAAATAAAAAAGGCCGAAGTTACTTGTCTAGCTAAATTGGCTTAAGTTATGAATAAAAGCTCTGGATAATTTCGGAATGTAAAACTTTATATTTGTGGAAATTACCCAAACGGACCACTTTTATATTCCGTATATCAATTATGTCGGTACCACTTTCTCTTTTCATTCTTAAGCTTTTCTGTTTTCAATTTTGGAATTTTTATTTCAATTTTAGACCTCCTCCTTCCACCTCCCTCTATACATACCTACGTTTAAACCTCTTCCATCATCTTCGACTCCATTGCTTCGGTATCTGTTTAATCGCGCCATAAAACTCTACATCTTATAATTAAAGTATCTGAGGTCACGGGAGTTATCATCCACATCAAATTGGATCGAGTTCTCACCACACGGGAATTCGCCGCCTCGCTCTCAGAGTCTCGCTGACGCCACAGGACAAGTTCAGAGTATCTGGTATAATGATAGCTCCGCCATCCGTGTTCTCTGCTCCAACGGCTGTGATTAGGAGGTCTGCCGCTGCCGATGCTTCCCTGAGGTTGTGATATCAATGGTGTGCCTAGAAATTCGGTAATTCTGACGATTCCATAGCTAAGGTTATTAATGAACCTTTTTTGGAAATCAAATCATATCTTTCCTTTTCATATATTCCTTGTGCTTTTACTCTCCAATTTTCCTAAGACAATGTTAAATTCACCTACATTTTTTAGATTACTGTTATGCGATTTTGTTATACTTTATATGTGTGTTTAGAATTCAAGTTTTTATTACATATTCTGGTTTTGTTGGGGTTTATCTTAGTTCATTGACTAGATACTTATGAATGATTGAGAGATTCTAATGTTGCTCTTTTTATTCTAATGTGTCGTAGGTGAATGTTTTTTGACAATTTTAGTTCTCAGCTGATTTGAAGTTGAATGCTGAGTTAGCCGGTTTACATGGGATGGTTTCTCTTAATGTTGTTCAAATATGGTCCACTGTTTGGTCATTTATAAACTCCTTTGTGCTATATCTCTTCTGCTTTGACCATTGACATAATCTCATTAACAAAGGTTCATATGTCTGCTCTTCATTGGTTACTTTCACTACTCTATTCAAGGCAGATATAGTTTTAATCAACTTTGTGACGCTATTTAGAGGTAGGAAATAGAATCCTCTTCATTAGGAAATGGAGAACATGTTGTCGAATCACTTATGTTCACTCCTCTTTTTGTTTTGCTAGTAAAGTAGTGTAAGATGTTTCTAAATGTAAAGATCTTTGTTTTTGAAGGGACAGAAGGTTGTTCATGGTAAAGGTGAAGCACTTGCTTCTTTTCGCTTTCAACTATAACTCATTTAATTAGGGAGCTTATTTGTAAGTTGCAATACTAGCCAAGGAAGTTTGTACTAGTATATGAGAAATCATAGAATAATTCCTCTTTCGTGGTCTAGTCGAACTAAACTGATCTTTTTTTATTGAGGTGGTACGATACTAGGTTCAGATATTTGGTTTGTTCAGGATCAATGCAGAAGAATGTTCTGGAGGCACATTTTTTTTAACAAGATCCAAGACCTCTTTTAATGAATCGAGTTGGGATCAAATACAAGGAATCTACTTCTCCATTAATTAACATTACGAGGAGTGTATATGAATTGTTATGTTGCTTGCAGTACTCTTCATTGATATACTGGAACACCATAGTAGGAGGGGTTCAAAAGGAAGAAGTAGAAACTGTTTTCGAGAATCCTTAGGAGTCTCATCTTGCAGCCAACTTGCATGCCACTGCTTGTCATAGAAAGTGGTCTATCTCCTCCTCCAACTTCTTGAGCATCTCTGTTTAGGGGAAAGAAGTAGAGCTTCAAGGCTCTTGTTAGAGTTTGGGAATGAAAGAAGCGCCTTGAA